ACTATCTTCTTCATCATTGGGTTCCACACCGCTGCCTCATACCTGGAAAAAGGCACAGGAGAGCTCAATGAACAGGCAGCTAGGATGAGACAGCAGGCTTCTGACAACATATCTTGACATATATGACTGCACTGACTTCAGATCTCTCCTTTGCAACTCACCAGCTCAGTGAATCCTGCCCAAAGTCCAACCCTGCGTGTTCCACATAGGCACGCAACGCAGATTGCGCGATGTGGTTGGGATGATTCGCCTTTGTGCAGAGCTGAGAAAGGCTGACCAGACAGAGCTTGTGCCTCGCCAATTCCCACATTGTATGCGCGCAGAAAGAGCTTTCATCCAGCTCCCCAGGGGTGTGAGAGATTCCATTGCTCAGGAAAGTCATGATGCCGGGGAGGCGGAGCTGAGGCTTAGAGATGTCCGACTGGAATGGGAACTGCTTCTTGAAACTGTTCCTATGGATTTCGAGCTGCTTCTTGAGCTTGCATGCATCCCTCTGCTCCTTCATGACTTCGCTTCCGTTCCTAGCTGCGTATCTCGCCTGTCTTGCTGCATGATCAGCATCGTGTTCGGCCTTCGTTTTGGTAGAGACGCGGCCTGGCTTGAGAGCAGGGAGTGGCCCCTCCTCAGAGTGGACATTGACCCTGTGCTCTCGGAAAGGTTCCTTCTTGGAACGCAAGAAGCTCTGATCGCAGATGGTGCCATCTTCCGACGACAGCTTACAGATCCAATAGTTGCCTTTCCTGACGAAGCCCGCCTCCTCCGAAGTTGCGATCGCGGCCATGACCTCCTCCCTTCTTCCTTGATTCTGTCGAGTAGGTAGGCTACTTTTCGTAAACTCTTTTATCCCGAGTATTTTCGAAAATCCGACCGTTTGACTCGTATCGACGGTGGAAAATTAATTCCGAATACCAAACCCTAATCCGTCGCGCGGAAACTCTCGCTTCAAAGTCACTTTTCTCATGCGTCCGAGATGGACCACCTGGTGACGCAGGAGGAGCTCCTGGTGGATCCCGTCCGAGGTTACCCGCTAGGTTACGAGAAGCTGTCGAGGCTAGCGGCATTGCACACGGGAGCTGACGGTCATTTCCCTCCACGGGGCCCCCCTAACAATTGGACCCCCATCGATGACTTCGTTTCGGTCGGGAATGCTCAGAGGTTTGAGCGGTGGTTCCCCATAGTTGAGGAAATTCACAGGGATAGGATCTCTGTGGCGGGATTTGAGAGTGTCCTCTGGTCCAGACTGAAGCCCTGCCTCGGATTCGATCCCAGCTATCTCAGGGTGGACAAGTTTGGCAATGTCATACACAGACAAGCTGCTCCCAACACCATCCTAGCGGGATGCATCGACCACTACTACCCAGTTGCGAGTGAGTGTTTCTGTGCTCCGCTGTCCTCCTGCTGCCATGTAACTCCTCAAGCATCTATTGGTAGCTCAAAGAGCTGGTTGGGTGAGAGACATACATCCTGCCGTGTCTGCAGGAGGTGGCTTGACGACGCTGGACAATCTGCAGATCATCCAATGGCAGGC